AACTTTCCTTTACTGTAGGCATTTTATACCATGAAACAGAGATTCTGAAACTATAAAAACTGTCTCTCACATAAAAGGCGATACCTATCTTCACCTGTGCAACCTGTTTAATACAACAAAACAGAACAAAAAAAGAGCATGTCGGACGAAAGCTATTAGGCAGTATTGTCTAAATCCAATTTGCAAACAGGCTAGTTCATTTTTTTATTCTAAAGATTTAAATATTTGAAAAACCTTAGATTCAAGCTCAGCTCATGTTTAAATGTTTGATTAGTAAGCTCGGCACACTTAAACTAGAAATGTATATGTAGTATCATCCTTGTTTTTGAACGGATGTGTTTCTCAGCAAACAGTAAAAAAAACAACCCATTTATTAACTTGACTAACCTTTGTCTTTTCTAGAACTTACATTCTATCAAGTAGATGGTGATAGTTTAATCAATATTGTTTTCAACATCCATTGAAGAGATATGAATGGTACTGAAGTTTTTGTTAATTTTACAGTCACGGTTTCGTCATTGCTACTCGTATTACATTTGAATGCAAACTAATCATTTAATAGATTTGCTGTGTCTTCACGATCACCAGTGAGCTCTCCATTTAAATTTTTAAGAGGTGGAATTGATTAATGATGTTTTACTGTTATGATGCTGTACTTTGGAGACAGTACTCCATCATGACGCTGTTTTACTATATTTCCCATTGTTCCAAATTGTGGGCAAAATAACGGCTCAAATGCGATTAAACATCACAAGAGGTTCCCTCGTCAGTGAGCAAACATTGTGTAATTTGCTCACCTATTTTTCTTGCTATACAAAGTATTTCAGAATGTATACTATCTGTCCAAACGTTTCGTTGCTACCAAGTCTAACAATTCTTTCTTTTTTTTTCATTAATTTCTACTGTTTCTCTAGGCTTTTACTGTTTGAGAGTCCTAGCAAATTGAACCGAATTTCTTGTCTCTGTATTTTCTTGATCTTGTATAACGGATAGCGGTGATTTCAAATTCGAAGAGATTTAGATTCAAAAAATCGAAAAGTCGAGTTCAAGTTCAGATCTGCACATCAATCGAACATATCCTTTTCACCAGCACTTCGGAAATATCCACTATGTAAAAGAACAAGAAAAAACATACGCTAAACGAAAACAAACAAATGAGCCAGATTCTTTCTGTATTCTGTTAGATATATCTAGCATTGTAGCTTTAGATTGTGACAGTTTAATCAATATTGTTTTCAACATCCATTGGAGAGATATAGATGATACTGAACTTTTTGTTTGTTTTTGTTAATTTTACAGTCACGCTTTCGTCATTGCTACTCGTATTACATTTGAATGCAAACTAATCATTTAATAGATTTGCTGTGTCTTCACGATCACTGGTGAGGTCAAACCCTTAAGTACCGAGGTTTAACAAAACCCGTGCTACCGATCTTCAGACAGCTTTTTCATGTTACATGTCTATTAGTTTTCTTTTTTAAGATTAACTACAAATACATATATTTTTAACAGAGTCCAGCCTTCAGACTTTTTCCACATACATTTGCAGTCTTAAGGTCTCAATGGATCCATCGGTCATGATGTACCGGACTTCCAACCCTTTTTAATATAGTTGAATGCTTGTTCTCCGTCATCCGTTATGAATAATCGCTGTCGCCAAGCTTGAGTTGGCGATTGCGCCAACCATCTCTCAACACCACTTTTATCTCTCGTGTAAACAACAATCGATGTCGAATAAGAAATTTCGTTGTTATTAATTAGGTCTAGTATATTAAGTGGATTTCTGTTTTCCGACTGATAATAGCCACGACAAATAATTTGAAATGGTCGACAGTTTTTAATGTATTGAATATTTTTAGATAAATATTCTTCAGCCATCGCGTATGTCTCACAAAATGCAATGGTAACACCACTTTCGGCTTTTAGATGTCGACAGAGCGGATCTTTACTCTCACTATCAACCCACAGAATGTGTGGCCCATTTGAGGTTTGTGGTTGCTTCTCTGTTTCTTCCGTTTTTTTTGCTTCAATTGCATAGTTGCTATCGGCTTTATTCTTGTTCTTGTCCCACCCGTAAATATCAGTGGTGTCATCTGAACTCCATCCCACATGCTCTGAATGTTTTGGGGATAAAACCGTTGTGGAAGAAGTGTCTTTCCAAGCAGAATCTGTTATCGGATACCATAGTGCATTTGGCCCGTCTTCCATCACGCATTGAACGGCATGCGCTTCCAAACAACGTTTTGGATTGGCCATGTAATCATACGGAATATAACAGTAGCCTTTATCACCCTATAACACATAAAATCAATTATCCGTATAAAAGGAATTTGAAATATGGTCAACTATCTGCATGACATGTGTCGGAAATGATGATGTCTGAAGTTACTAAGGTCTGTATCTTAGATGTTATTTTGCACTAACCCATTTCTCTCCATAAGAGTTTCTGACAATGAAGCATTTAGATTTATCACTATATCCCACTGCTAACATTGCGTGCCAGTCATCACCATTCGAACGCCCTTTTTCATTCTCTCCGGGTAGAGGCACCGTTCCCTTCGTTTCAAGGTCTTCTGCTTGGCCAAACGATTCAAATAACTGAATTCCAAACACAAACGGAAGGCCCCGAGCAAGACACGCTTTCATGATGCCTAGATCTGTATCGACGGATAGCTTCTCGGATACACGATATCTCATAGCTTCTTCGTAAGCTTGTTTCGATGGTTCTGGCCGACCATGCTTGGATCATAAGGCCATGTTTATTCCTTACAACAGCCAAACTTTTCTAGTGCTTCGACAGCTGCCACAATTGTTGTTCCGTCATCCTCGTACCAATTTCCCTCTTTAACTCGAGCATTGTAATAAATAAACAAACGACTAACATCAACATGTTTACTGCTGTTTTTTTTAATCGAAAATTCACACGCACCTACAAGCACAAGAGCAATTTAAACTAGACAGCAATCACACTACGAGAGAGTTGCGTATAGGGTATGAAGCTCTTCTGGGAAAGAAATCAAAAACCAGGAAACCGAAAGAGTTGTATGGGAACCGGAAACATGAGCACGAAGAAACTGGAGCACGGAAAGACGAGCACGGGAAAGTTGAACACTAGGAAATATGGGCACTAGGAAAATTGGGCACGAAGAAAGTTGAGCAGGAGGAAACTTGAGCACGAGAAAGTTGAGCACTAGGAAACATGAGCACAAATTTATAGTTTATCCATTAAACTTTTTGTATCATAAATAGTTGAAAAAATTTAAGAGAAAGTTAATTTAATCAATTTATTCAATATACTATTATATGAACGCAGCTTTTTTGTTAATATTATGAGCAAATTTAACATATTCTTGATAACAATTCTGATAACCTAATATCTAATATACAAAAACAAAAGTTATACATTGAACAGCGAACATATTCTATTCGAACGTATTTTTATACTAAATTACTTCAATGTTAACTGAAGTTGTCGATGAAGATTTTGACGAAAATGGAAATAACAGCCAGATAATGATATATTAAAGAAACTACTGTCATATACATTAATACATGCCTTTTCGAAATCAAGTAAAATAGAAGCAGGGAACCAGCATGGAGCAAATTCTGCTATTTCATTTATAAGACGTTGATATGTATCACTATTTTTACGACTGAGTAATGAATAGACAACTGGTACAACATGTCCACGATAGATGGCATGTACAACATATAATTGATAAAAAATCTCAGGAACCACCTAAACATAGGAATATTTACTTTTACTTCACTCAATTGAAATTTCCACCGAAACCCAAGAAATATCTACTTCTATACATACTTTAAATGTACCATCAACAAGAAAATCATCACATGATTGTAAAATATCTAATTGTTCAGAACTGGCAAATATTAACATTCGATCTGGTCCTGTTGAAAAGAAAAATTAATTATTAAGAAAACAATTCTGTTAATGAAATGAAAAATTCTTAGACATAATTGTATGGTGGCATTACCTCGTCCCGTATCACAACGTAAAAATTTATCGCCGCGAGATGTTACGGTTAAAGCTGTTGGAACATTTGGAAATTAGGATCATTTGGGGCTGATGGAAGCTTTTTATCTTCACGTAACATTCTAATGCGACGTTTAATATTATCACGTGATGGTAAACGGGCTAATGCTTCGTCCGACATTCCGATACAACAATGGGTTATAATTAAATCAGGTGTTTCCTGTGTATTCATTGTACGATACCAAAGATCTTCATTAAACTTTCGAAGTTCACCTGTAATACCATTACTTTTACATGTATGATCAGAAGGTGGAGTTATAACATTATTGGTAATATTACATGTATGAAAACGAGCATGACATTTTTGAGAATTATAATATATACAACGCCAATATGTTTTATTTTCAGTAAATCGATCTTTTATGTACGAAAAACCTTGGAGTTCAAGACGAGGTTTTTGTTTAGTAGTACATGATACTGATGTAGATATTGCTGTAGACGTATTTTTACTGTAGAGAAAGTGAAGTTGAAACGTGAAAGTGAATTGTGAAAAAAGTTATGAATATATAATAGTATATTGAATTTACATCAATTATCCCAATTAATAATATATTGATTAACTTGTCAGCAACTCTATTTTAAATTTTTGCAACTCTTTGTTTTCAACAAATTATTAAAATTCCTATATTGATGACTTTTCGACAGCAGTATATTAAACAAATTGATTAAATTAACTTTCTGTTAAATTTTATCAACTCTTTATGATACAAAAAATTTAATGGATAAACTATAAAGTTGTGCTCATGTTTCCTAGTGCTCAACTTTCTCGTGCTCAAGTTTTCTCCTGCTCAACTTTCCTCGTGCCCAATTTTCCTAGTGCCCATATTTCCTAGTGCTCAACTTTCCCGTGCTCATTTTTCTGTGCTCATCTTTCCGTGCTCAAGTTTCTTCGTGCTCATCTTTCACCCACCCGCGTTGTATATACGCATGAATTCTAAAAAACAGCTTTACTCTAGTTGGTTGCGTACGAGGTCAGAAGTAGCTTAACATGTACACTGTTCACAAGAAAATCTAAAACATCATCCATACATCCATTTCTGATTATACGTGATAATGCTACTATGGAACTCAAATTAACAGTTTTTCATGTTTTTGTTACAAAACTTCCCTCCAGAACCTTTTAATTTTCCTGATTATATATAATTCGCGGACATATAGTAAAAAAACGGTCCATGGTCAACAACCAAGTGAATCATATATGATACATGGACGGTGAATGTGTTAAATCTGATGTACTGCAGTCTAAGAAGAATAATTAAGTAAAAGAGTAGTGAATGAGTGAGACAAAGTTGCAAAAACAAGTACAACAGATCATTTGATGATTAATATAGTTTCAACTTTCTCTGTCACCCTTGAAAAATATTGACAACATTAATGACGATATGCGTAGAAACTGTGAACTAATCGCTATAATTACTCTCTCACAACACTGCGTTAATTATCAATAACACAGCAGGTAAACAAACACTGACGATGCATAATATCAATTACAGAGAACGAGCTTACTGGCTACAAGCCAACTTGACCAGATGTTCTCTTCATCCTGCATGGCGCGTGTACACTTACAACACCAATTATCCCTTGCTACTGTAAACTTTTTCTCCAAAAACGTCAGTCGATCATCTTTTAGGATGCTCTAGGCAAGAAACTAAATGTCCCACAGAACTACCAAATCGGACATTCAGATATTCAGAGTTCGACCCATATTCTCGTTTTTCTATTTTTCTTACACACCTTTTAGACCTTGAACAAACAGCGTGAGACAATCACACAAAAAGCGTATTAAAACAACACTACGTTAAATTCTAGAATGCGGTTCCTTCGTACTGCATTAAAAATCAGATTAAAACCATTCGCTCAACTTACCGGCTAAAGCATTTCCAACACTACAAAGATAAAGACTAATATTATTAACGAACCTCTTTATGCATAAAGAAATAACGTGTTTTTTACCATGATTGTAAAGTTCCTTGACGTTTGACTGGTGTCATCATCTCACGTAAATCCACTTTTTTGGGTATTTCTGCAGACCCAAATTTTCGACTGGACGAAAACTTTTTGGCTGTTGACGGTTCTGACGATGGGCGAAAACCGCCCAACGGATACTGTTCACCAGTTTTTTTGTTTGTAAAATACATTCCTTTGGACATGATTGCTTATTCAATTTTCTTGAGAAAAAAGAGACTTGTAGTGAACATGAAA